GCTTCTCTGGTGTGCTCAGCTTAAACACAGCTCCCATCTGGTCAGCCTTTTAGGACCTTCCAGTCTCGTGGGACTCGGTGGCCTTTACACTGTAAGGTACAGTGTTTCCCCTGATAATGCTAACCTTGGGAAAGCACAAAATCGATAACATTTGAATAGTAAGAGGATCACTTGGGTGCATCAGAAAGGGTGGTGATGGCAAGATGTCCCCGAGGTAGTCGGCTTCATCTAGAGTGTCTGTTTGGTGGCTCTGAAGTTTGGGTATTTTCTCTTTCAGGAGAAGGTATTCTGTTTCATGTCTGGTTTTCCATCTTCAGCATGTTGGCCCTGAAACCATCTTTCTGGCAACAAAGAATCCTAATCTTTCTGCCGTTATGAGAACTTTCCTCTAGGTGGCGCCATTTGCAGCTCTCTGAGTCTCCCTGGGCCTGCTTGCCAGCCTTACCACTAACTAGCAAGGCTACTTTATTCCTTGGCTAGACAGTGGTGCACGGAAGCAGCAAGCTCTGCACGGAACAGCTCTTTCCCAGCTCTTGTAGGATCTGCAGCGCTTCACGCTGACTTCTAATGGGTCTTCCAGGTGACCGTCATGTGCCTACCCATGCTCCTTCTGAACTTCTGTAGTAGTCCATTCTCTGTGATGTAGGTTAGCAATGAGTGCTTCTCATGTTGCACTCTTATTTATTCTTTTGTGCATGTGGACTGTCTGCCCAAACAGATTATTAAGCTTTGAAGAGCTTTGTATGCCGCGGGCATCTGGCAGAACGCACTCCCTGGGACAAGTAGTCTTCTAGTGTGTTTGTTGTTGAGGTAGGTTCTGGTTTTCTTTTGTTTATTCATCACTTACTGGGTATTTGTTCCAGGCTGGGCACTCTTTTTTTTTTCCCCAAAGATTTTATTTATTTATCTGAGAAGGAGACAGTGAGAGAGAGCATGAGAGGAGAGAAGGTGGAGCTGGGAGCCTGATGCGGGACTCGATTCCGGGGCTCCAGGATCATGACCTGAGCCGAAGGCAGTTGCTTAAGCAACTGAGCCACCCAGGCGCCCCAGGCTGGGCACTCTTTTGGGTGCCCTGAAAACAGTTATGAAAGACAAGATCCCTGCTCTCAAGTAGCTCTAACGTTGGGAAGAGAAAGAGCGCGCATGCGCACAAGCAAGAGAGAACTAGACCATTACAGGGACACTAAGTGACTCTGGGAAGAGGAGCAGTGCAGGCTTTTCCCTCCCCGGGAGCTCCCCTTACAGAAATCAGCCTTTCACTCTGTTATTCTAGGATCACTCCTGGAGACTGAACTATGCCTTCGACTGCTTTTCTTTTCCAGTCCCCACAGAAGAGGGGGGCCAGAACATGGGGCAGGTATCTGTGTCAGGACACCATGAAAAAGGTGACGGTTGTCACATATTCCTCTGGCATTCCATGCCCCTAGGGTTGTGTTTTGTTTTTATTTTTATTTTTTATTATTATTTTTTCCCCCAGCCATCTAGTAACTGCCCTTGAATTCTCAAAATGGTTTATCATCTCACTGTCTGGGAGTGATTTGGAAATGCTGATTTACTTTAAGTGCTGTAGATACGTATTTATTGAAAACCTGTTCATTCTGTAAGATACATCCTTTTCCTGTGAATGTCCTCCAGTTCTAACAGAATGAATTATTCCTGCCTTTTTATACCTTTGTTACTGTTATGTCTATCCCAATTTTAATACAAATTGGTTTCATTTTGTCTTTTATTATGGCTGTTCAGAGCCTCATGCCTTAAAACTGTAAGCCTATGGAAGGCAAGGACCATATTGCGTTCACCTTCAGATCTCTTACTTCCTGCACTTTCTCCTTATTTACACATAGTAGGCAGTGAATACGTGATAATTTAATGAGCTGGGACTTTGTAATTTGATCCAAGTTTAGTTACATATTTTAGAGTATTTACTTCCAATATATGGCAATTACTTCAGGAGTTTCTACATGGATTTTGTTTGCTTGACTTAGGTTGTATGAATATTTGCTTGGCAAATGCTTTCCAGATAAATATGCAAAGGTTTCTGGATAGATCTGGGCTCCGATTTTGAATTTTCTTTTCCTGTTTCCTTCTTGTCATCTATATATGGCTTCGTCACTGTCGAGTCTTGCCTTACTTCCGGATTTCTTTCCAATATTTGAAGAAATATCCTCCTATTGATTTATTTTGTCCATTCAAATATCTACTAAGTGCCAAGGCGTATCTCTTGATTCTGGGGATTCAGGGGTAACAAAACAGATTTTGATTGTACCTACAATGTGTTCAAACAGTGTAATTTCTTTCATCAAAAGTTGTGCCAATTCAGTCAAAATGGATTACCTGATAGCTTGATAGTACAGTTTGAGAGGCATTTACAAAAATCTCAGAGTCCTTGGCTAGGGAACCAGAGACTTGAAGCTTTCTGTCATTTGATTTTTTGGTGTTTAATATCTCACACACACACACACACACACACACACACACACACACATACTTATGATTAAATGTTTCCCCTGAAGCCATCTAAAATTTCTGCATATTGAATTTCCATCTTTAATTTCATTAGTCACTTAACTTTAAATTTTATTTTATTTTTTTTTTAAAGATTTTATTTATTTATTTGACAGAGAGAGATCACAAGCAGGCAGAGAGGCAGGCAGAGAGAGAGGAGGAAGCAGGCTCCCCGCTGAGCAGAGAGCCGGATGCGGGGCTGGATCCCAGGACCCTGAGATCATGACCTGAGCCGAAGGCAGCAGCTTAACCCACTGAGCCACCCAGGCGCCCCTTAACTTTAAATTTTAATGTCACAGAAAGTCTAGTGGCTTTATGTAGAGGTTCATAGAAAGGTGGTGAGGTTTGTTTTCTCTGCTTTCCTGGCGTATGTGAAACGTAATCATTTTTTAAGGCCAGATATTCTTTTAAACAGGGAGCTAAAGTATAGATCTAATATCTCCATGACTTGTGTGATCTAAGTCCTGGTGTGTGTGTGTCATGAAAGAAGGCAGTCACACACCTGTCATCCAAGGAGCCCATGTACATTCTTGACCTGTAGCCACAGTAGTCACGACCTTACTTTACACTCGGGTGACCAGGTTGCTCCAGAAACATCTCAGAAAGCAGAAAACGTGGAAAAGGGATTCCTTTCACAAATACAGTTTACTCTTGAGGCTGCAGTTTTCATTAAAGCAGGAGGTAATCTGAGTTTCACCTCTTGCAGTTATGAGACCGACTAAAACCTGATTGTGCAAGGAGATTTTCGTGGCCATTTATCAGTCGAGTAGGACAACAAAATAAGCACACATTTTAAAGTAAAGTGCCTCAATTGAAAGTGGACTCTAGAAGGGGATTTTGCCGGGGCAATCTTTTTTCCTCCTCTTCCCCCTATTTTATACTTTCCTTCTGCCACATTATTTTGCATTTTCCCGTAAGTCGACCATAATTCAATTTCGGGCCAGAAGAATAAATTTGATTACTTGGCTGTTAAACATCGTGTGCCTTTTCCAAGGCCAGAGAGGAGCCTGTAACAAAACAGAAACCACCTCAATGGCATGAAAAACTGGAAGCCATCAGGAGGCTCCCGGAAACTTGGACAGCTTCATTTTGCAGCTCAGGATTTAGATTTCTATCTCCCGTAACTTTGTGGACAGTTTCGCCTATTAACACCCCCCCTCCCTCCCCCTCCCCCCGGTCCCTCTGGGAACCGGTGACAGTTCCTCCTCTTCCTCAGTCTCACTGCACGACTGAGTCTATCCTATGTTCCAAAACTGAATTGGGGTCAGAGGTGACGCGAGATAACTTTTCTAACCGAATGGCGTTTTAGAAACAGGGACGGAAACACCGAAGTGGCCGAGAGGCGGCCCCAGGGCGCCCACCTGCGCAGCCCGGGAGCTGGGGGAACGAGCGCGGTGGCCGCCGGCCGCCAGGCGCCCCGAGGGTTCGCGGAACCGGCCGGGACTGGGGGCCGGCGGGGCCGCATCCCGCGCCTCCGCCGAGGCCGCCATATTCCTGCTCCACCACGCCCGGGCGGCCGGCGGGCAGCCGCAGGTTGGCGGTGGCCCCGGGCCAACCCTTCGCCGGGGGCGGCCGCGACCGCTGCACCCGCGGGCCCCCACCAAGGCGCGGGAGCGGGAGGCGCCCGCAGAGCCCGAGGGGCTGGCCCAGCCAGGGAGCGGCAGGCGAGGAGAGAGCCGCACAGGGAGGCGCGCCGCGGCGGCTGCGAGTCCAGGAAAGCCTTCCAGGAGGGGCCGGGCGGCACCGCCTCCCGCTCCCCCCTCCCTCCTTCCCTCCGCCTCCCCTCCTCCTCCCGCCGCCGCCGCCGCCGCTGCCGCCGCCGCCGCCGCCGCCGCCGCCTCCCTCCCGGATCTGTGCTCCAGTTCAGAGAAAGAAGAAAATGTGCGTGTGTGGCGAGGGGGAGGGCGCGCACTGAGCAGCCGCTCCGCTCCTGGCAATCGGGGCCGGGGGTGGGCGTCTGGCGGAGGCGGAGCGGAGGCGGAGGCGGCGGAGCGCGCGGCGGGCGGGCCGGCGAGCGGGGTTTGCGCGCGAGCCGGGCGGTGGGCGCGGGCAGGGCCCAGGGCGCCCAGGAGCCGTGTCAGGCGGCGGCGAGGGGCGGGCGCGCCGGGCGCGGGGAGCCGTCGGCGGCCGCTCGCTGAGGGGACGCCCCGGTGGATGTGCTCTCGCCGCCGGGCGCAGGGCTTAGGGGAACCTCGGCGGCGGCGGCGGCGGCGGCGCGGGGGGCGAGGCGGGCCGCCGGTTCCCAGGGAAGGAGGCGCGGGCGTCTGAGCGAGGCCGGGCGCGGCGGCCTTCCCTCGCGCGCCCCCCGAGCCAGCGCCCGCGGCCGCCTCCCGCGCCCGCTTCGCTCCTCCCGGCGGCCCGAGCCTCCCGCTCCCGCCGCACCCCCGGCCCACCTGGTGGCCGCGGCCCCCGCGGCCGTTCCCCGAGCTCGTCCCGGACGCGCGCCCGGGCGGCGGGGGCTCGGCGGCCACCGCTGCCTCGGGGGAGCGAGGGCGGGAGGGTGTGTGTGCGCGCGTGTGAGCAGGGGGTGCCGGCGGGGCTGCAGCGGAGGCACTTTGGAAGAATGACTCTGGAGTCCATCATGGCGTGCTGCCTGAGCGAGGAGGCCAAGGAAGCTCGGCGGATCAACGACGAGATCGAGCGGCAGCTCCGCAGGGACAAGCGGGACGCCCGCCGGGAGCTCAAGCTGCTGCTGCTCGGTGAGTACAGCCCGGGGCCCGCCGCCGTGGGCCCTCCCGCCGGGCCCCTGCGGCCCCCGCCCGTCGCCCCCGGGTCCCCGGGGTCGCTGCCCTCCGCGGCCCCCGCCCCCGGGCGCCCGCGGCTCGCCCCGACCCTCGGCGGGCGCGCCCCCGGCCACTACCTGCACCCGCGCGGGTGCGCGGGCGCGTAACACACGCGCGCGCGCGCATACACGCGCGCACACATACACGCGCAGAGGGGTCGCAGCTGCCTTGCCCGGGGCCTCGGCTGGTGCCTTTTGGTATCCCCGAGGGCTGTGCCTTCGGGGAGTGCGTTTATGAGCTGTGCATCTCCTAAATGGCAAATCACTTCGAGGGAGAGGCGCGGGGGTGGGAAGGTGGGCAGCGGCGTTAACTTCCAGTGTCTTGGCCATGGCGCCCCGTGTTGGAGAGGGGAGCCGTGTGTGTGTGTGTGTGTGTGTGTGTGTGTGTGTGTGTGTGTGTGTGTGTGTGTGTGTGTGTGTGTGTGTCTGTGGCCCGAGGGTGACGAGCCGTGCCGGGGCACGTTGGGGGACGGCGTGCGGTGGGGTGGCCGGTGTGAATCCATTGTCAGTTCTTTCTGGGGTCAGGACGGAATGGTGGTCGGGTGGGCCGACTCGCGACTGGATTCCCCAAGGAGTGATGATGAGGGAATCGAGTGGTTGGCCCTCCAAAGAAAGGGGGGTTATGTATTCAGGTGGCAGGCAGGCAAGCTCAAATGTGTCACATAAGTGCTTTCTCTAGCCACCAGACCACTGAAAGGAGGGACTCAGAAGAGTTTCTTTACCAGTGGATGGTGGCAGGCTTGTTTCTCGTCTGCACCATTCCTTCCAGATAGGAGGGATACGGGAGGGTTGTGCTGTGTGGTTGTTGACAGCGACCGGTTTCTTTTGTTTAATGAGGCAACCCAGATGTAGGCCTGAATTCACAATAGTTACTACTGAAAACCAGTGCAGCCTCTCAGTTACTCTCACGGCAGCAAATAGAAACCTTTTGTTTAAAACGGACAACATTTTAGTATCTTTGGGATCTGGACTGGAAGGAAAACGGGAAGTGTATAGCAAAAATTTCCCTTTAATCTCTTAAAAAAAAACAACCCAACATTCTGCCTTCACACTAAGTTATCAAGAAAATGCCATTTCTCAAATAGGAATTCTATTGATAATTATCTTTGAGAGAATGTTCAGAATCAAGGATCAGGGTGCACATAGGAGTCAGCGTGACATAACTCTGAGCTATGGTGGTAGGGAGAGCAAACAGCTTTGCGGTAACAGGCCTGAAAAATGTCTGCACTTGTGTTCAAGATATTTGTGTGTATAATAAATATGTTTCCCAGTCATGTCTGAAAGAGGGAAATATTGTATTGTCAATTCAGATTTAAGAAGCATGCAGTTTCTTTCTTGAGCATTTCATCTCCTGGTTTAAGGAACCAGTTGCCTTTGGGACTGAACTGCTTATCTACCGGATCATTTACAAGAGGGAACAAAATATAATGATTGCAAATAGTTACAAATGGTTAACTCGCATGCCATGCTTTATGTCTTCATCTTGAAACCAGATTAGATAAATGTGCACATGCTTATAAGGAACAGAAGGCAAAGCGCTGGGTAAAAGAGGTGGGCTTTAGGGAATGAAGCCAGGGGAGGGGAAAACTGCAATTGGAAAAAGAATATTTAAAAAAAAAATGTTTTTATTCTCATTTTGGGCTACTTCTAAGGGCTGAATCATGTGTAATTGAACATGTTGCGAATTCTCAAGATTGAGAAAAAAAGAGAGGGGAAGAGAAATAGGCATAGAGTGTCTAAGTACAGATAAAGGAAAAGGATGTGTTTTAGAGAGACTAAAGAATAGGCTCTCTTTTGCCCTGTTTACAGTCTTTGTTTATGGTTAGCTGTGAATACAGCATTTGAGATCTCAAGCCATCCCTGTTGTCTGAAATGTGACAGCTCGAGTTCCCAGGGAGCTAGGAGTTAGAACCCCGGGGGTTTGTCTGTTTGAAGGCCTCAGTCTGAATGTCTAGGAGGAAGATTTTTAGGCAAATACACATATATGAACATTTAATTACGTACTGTATATTTCAGTAACATACAGTGCTTTAAAAATATACTCGGGGAGATGATTTTATGAGCAAAAAAGTGAAACAGTTTTCCTGCTGAAGTGGTAGTAATAAGAGAACTTTTTCTCTTATTAGGTTATTTGAGTGGGGTTTAATAAGCCTAACCCCAGCCCCCAAATAGAGCCCATTAGGAGTGGTGGGAAGATATGGCATTAATTTAGCACCTACCTTCATTAATAACATTTAAAAATTTGAACAGCTCTTTGTTAGAAACACTACCCCTAGGCATCAGGTAAGAATTGTTACAGTTTCCTGTCCTAGAGATGTTGCTTTTGTAGCATAATGAGTTTGATACCTATACTACCTCTACAGTAAATGTTCTCTACTAAATGTAGATGTGTGCATGTGTGTGTGTGTGCATGGGATTTCACAGTTTTTTGAATCCAGGAGAAAAATGATGGTTGATTTGAACCAGGAAAGGTGTTGGGGAGGACTTCTCTTTGAAGAACTGCTCTCCCATCGGCTGCTTGGATGAGTTCACTGCATCTTCCTGTTCCCACCTATCCGAAGAAGGTTCTAGGATTTATCCTTTCACAGTGTCAAGATTTATCAATATTTTTAACTACATTATTTAAATGGAAGGGTCACTTTTATATTTAAATGACATTCAGTATGAAATTATTTTCAAACTGAATTTTAGTTCAAGGCATGACGTCATGTTAGTGGAAATGGATTTACTTGGCGGGGGACCTTTGCATATGTTCACCATTTATTTTATATATTACTAATATGAAGAAACAAGAGAGAGAAAATAGTCGTTACCTGCCTAGATGAAAGTATAGCAGTGAAATGTGGGCTGTTTTGATACACATACAGCGATTATGCTGGTGTATTCCAAATAATATAGTACTGATATGTTTTGATTTTTATTCTTTTTTAAAAATGAACCCAGAAACTTACCACTGTAAAATAACCATATTTAATAATGAATTCTTGTTTTCTTTACCATATTCGTTCTCTGAATTTACTTACATAAGTATTTTTCCTTGACACCTCAAGGAAGACTTTGTATTCTACATCTATATGTGAGCGAATAACTTCTTCTAACTTGGTTGTAAGTTTTCATATGCTTTGTGCGTATATAGTACATTACATTTACTTTAACTGATTACCATTTATGAATATTAGCTAAATGTATTTGTAGTACATAGGTCACAGTATCTAATATTAATGTGTCCTTAAGACTGTATACAACAAGTGGCTTTGAATTCCTGCTTAGTTACAGATATTCGTGCTGAAATTTTTATCAGTTCCTTGAAGATATATATTTATATATTTCCTGTTAACCTGTTCTTATTTTACATGTTTTTAAAATCTCAACTCTTTAGATCTTAATCACTAAACAGGAAGATTTAGCAAGCCTTTCTAATGGACTGGGTTCCACCTATTGAAAACAGGCTGTTTAGGCTGGTCTTAGCTGGAAGAATATATGTCCTCTGTCTTCTAACTGAATTACATGCGTGATTGTGGATTTTCGTCCCATTCTAGACCAGCAGCTTGGGAGGGTAGGGAGTGTGTCCGTAGTGCTCACTATTAAACCCCAACTTCCAGCTCAGTAGATCCCTAACTCATGACATGCCCTCCCTTAAGTACTTGTTGAATGAGTGAGTACCTTTATTCCTGACCCTCCTGATAGAAATTGGGACCATGAAATAATGAATAAAATGTGGAGACACAGGGATACATAACGTTTTTTAATCTGTGGCAGATAAAAATCACGGTCTTTAAAAAATTATAGCTCTTTGAGGTAATTGCATATACGTGCATTCCAGAATCGGAAGTGTTAACGTGATATGTGACCTCGTGTACTGCGCCTGTGTGTTATGGTTCTGTGCTGCATGTGTTTGGGAATGGTGACAGCGATGCTTAAAGTATGAGAGTTGAAAAGGGAAAAAAAAGATAAACCATTCCCTATCTTGGCTACTTATTGCGTAGAAGCTGGTTTAACCCTGTTATCTCCAGGCCATACACTTTCTCCCCAACGTGCTGGACAGAGTGAATTCCAGGTTTCTCCAGAGCATAGGTGGCTACTGCAGAGGTTTTTGTGATTCATCTGTACAGTCAGATGAGAAGCACAGTGATTAAATTTCAGAGTCGCACATGGACTCTTTTGAGTTGCGAGGTATACAGTTGTCCTGAAAACTGGACAGTTTTAGAGCAGGAGCGCACTTGGCCGGCTGGGAATGCACTGGCGGATTCAGACAGGAGGGAGGGTTCATTCACGTGGGTCTGGGTGAAAGTGCCTGGCCCACCACCCCGCAGTAGAGTTCACTGGAGAGGGATGGGGGTTGATGCTCTGAATCAACCCAGAAGTTAGTGGCCTTCTAGGATGCCCACTCAGAACAGCAGAAGGCAGGGATCCCTATAAGCAGCCCCAGTAACAGCATCTCCCTGGAAATGCCAAAATACAGTGTTGATGCGGCTGCGTTAAAACCAGCGAGTTTTATTTTTGCTATTCTTTCAGCTTCCAAGTGTCAAATATGTTTCTAAATGTCAGGATTTATTTGGATGCATCTCGTCTTTTTCTTTCTGCTTTTTTCTGTTTGTTTCTTTGAAGCAAAGTACTTATAGTTTATATCTGGAGGGTGAAATGGGGGCATCCCTCATGAAAATCAGAACTGTAGCTCTGACTCTATAGCAAAGCCTTCAGAGTAAGATTTTTGCGTCAAGCCGTGTACATTTATTGGCTGGATCTGCCCTGTAACTCATGGCTCTGTTTACGTGTTATTTCTTCCTATGCAAACTTCAGCACACGTTAAAATCATACTATGCAGTGAAGTTATCCCCTGTATATCGATATGTATATTTTTAGGTAAATGTAGGAAGGAGGACCAGAAGAGTAATTTAGTGGCCATTTTGTTTATTA